CACGTGGCTGGGCTGCTGCCCCGGGGGCGCGCCGCTGACCGCCAGCGACGGAGTTCCCACGGGGCTGGCGCCCGACGAGCGCAGCCTGTGGGTGTCGCGCGTGGCGCAGATCGCCGTGCTCTGCGTGCTGTCGCTCACCGTGGTCTTCGGCGTCTTCTTCCTGGGCTGCAACCTGCTCCTCAAGTCCGAGAGCATGATGAACTTTCTGGTGCAAGAGCGCCGGCCCTCCAAGGACGTGGGCGCCGCCATCCTGGGGCTGTACTGAGCGCCGCCACGGCCACCCCAGACCGCGCAGCAGTAGGAAGGGAGGCCAAGACCCTCGTCTCCCTCTCCCTGCTCTGCCGACATCTCCGGGCGGGCAGTGCGAGGGGCAGCGACGTGCCTCGGGTGCTCGGATCTGGGGACACCGCGGGACTCGAAGCGACGGCGCGGGAAGGGACTTCCACTTCCGGCTCGGTCTTGTGTGCGCTGCAGCGTTTGCGGTTGGGATGAGGGTTCTTAACAATATTTTTTTTAAAAAAAGAAGTTCGGGACGGGGTGGGAGTAGGTGTGGGGTCCAGGTTGGGGCCGAGATCACCGGCGTGGGAGTTTTGTGTGCACGTCGTTGGGGGCTGTGTGGCGGCTGGTTACTAGCAGGGCAGAGAGAGTGGCGGGAGAATCGGGGTCTGCGAGCTCCCTGGCCTGATTCTGCAACTGAAAAGAAACCTTGGAATAAATGGCCGCCGTCGGGCTCCTGGCTACGTCTCACCTGAGCCTGTGGGTTTGTGTGTGCGTTGTCAGGGGCGGAGGGAGGGTGGCATGTAGTCTAGTCCGGGGCTCTTTGAGCGGGTAGGGAATCTAGACCCTGCGGGAACGTCAGGCTGCATGCAGCGCCTTCGGGGCGGGTCCTCGGTTCTGAGGGCTCCGCGGGCTCTGCGGTCTCTGTCTGCTGAGGGCGGAGTCACCAAGGCAAAAGGAACCGCTTTCTGCCCCCACAGCGGAGGAGGCAGGTCTTGGGGGTGATTTGGCCATTGGTGAGAGTAATTAAATAATTGAAATTGTCTCCTCAGTGCAATGAAAAACAACAACAACAACAACAAAAATACAAGTGGAGTCCAAAAGAGTGAAAACAGTACAAATTAATCCACTGGGATAGCAAACAAAATACAATTTGGAAGGGGGGAGGGATTGGGCTACTTAGGAATTTGGTTTTAAGGCCAAAAGCCCCATCTAAAGACTTTTGACCCCATCCGTAGAGAGCACAGATGAGTAAATTGTGAAGATTCCCCTTGCTGCAACCAGAAGGGTCGGTAGGGGTCTGGTGAGGAGGCCCCAGGATGTTTAAAATGACAGAAAATGGCCTCCAGACACAGTTTCTTTGGGAAAACTGCAGCCTGCTGTTAAGAGATGCTCCCAGCTGCCCAGAAACTAAGCACCTCTGCAGGTCTGACTTCCCTCAGAGCAGTGTTAAGCGGTAAGAACCCTGCAAGGGTCTGGTCCCAGAGAGAGCTGCACTAGGGGCCCCGGGGAGAGAAGGTCGGGCCTTGTGCCTGTGTGCACTTCCTTAGCCCTAGTGCTACCTCACTCAGGCAGCCCGCGTACTTGGAAGATATTTCCAGCAGACGTTTCTATAGACTTCTCTCTTTTGCACGGGTGATGTGAAGGAGAATGAGAAGGAAGCTGGCTGAAGCCTTAGCTGGCTTTGGGTCGAGAAGCCAAGGGATGCCTTTGACACTTCTGTCTTTGACACTAGTTCCTCCCCATACAGTCACTGGCTGTGAGGGTTCTGCAAGCTTCTTGGCCCCAAGCACTCCTGCGCAGTCAGAATGGATATGTCCCCCTTCCCCATCCCAGTCTCAGCCTAGAAAGTTTCATTCTGTTGGACAGGACAGGGCGGGAAGGTCAGGTGACAGACTCTGAAAGGTACCTGTGGGACAAAACTCAGACATGGGCCTGTTATGCTAATGGTGCGCTGTGACTTGCAGGTAGCCTTGCCTGATTGAGGGAGCACAATCTCTAGGGGGTTGGGCAACCCGAGCACAGGAGTCCGGAGCCTGACCTGACACCCTGGCCTGGAGAATGCGACTCAGATGGCTGCAGCTGTTCAAGTAAAACCCCACATGACCAGAAAATAAAGGCTTGGGGAAGAATACGGGCTTAGATACCTTGCCAGGCCAAGTTAGCATGAACACTGTGAGCACTTTCCTTTAATAAAATGGGTCTGCTACCAAACACGACTGGGGCAAGGAGGGTGATTCAAGAGTTAAATTTCCTGAATTTGCTAAAAAAGCTTCCTCAGTGGGGAAGCTTTGTAGGCTTTTCTCACTGCTAAAAAAAGACAGTGAAGCTATGTCTATGTACTAGCACGGGTGTTTGGAACCCCATCCCATGACTAGCATGCCCACCGTATAAGCATGCACATGTGCGAAGTGCATGTTCACGCCTACGGGCACACACAAAGGCAGGTCAAACATCAAGGAGCAAAGTAACCAGCAAGAGTGGGGTCTTGGGAAGGCACGAGAGGGAGGGATCACATTGTAGCCCATCTTAAGCTCTGAGGGCCTGCGGCGTGTGTACTGACTGCCTTACATAAACCCCAGGCAGGCATGGGAACACCAGGTTATGTAAGGTAAGAGCCATGCAGGAGGCACAGTGATCCAGGGGCAGGGCAAGACTGAATCAGAATCCTGAGCCTTGAGCATCTGGAGGACAGCAGGACCCCAGTCCCTGAGCAGCAAGAACTCTCCCTACCTACCAGGCCCACCCAGGAAGTAGGGACCAAATCTCAGCAGATCCTGGATTCAGAAGAGAGAAGCCGGGGATTCTGGTCTTTGAAATCCTGCCTACCCTGTTTCCTAGCTCCGTGACTTTGGGGAAGTTATCTCAACCTCTCTGTGCCTCAGTTTCCTCATCTACAAAAATAGGATTGAAACGAGAACCCATAGCTCTTGTAACATGATATTGTAAAGTAGTCAGCCCCATGCCTGGCATCTAATAGACCCTCAAAAAAGCAGTTATTATGTTGTATGTACTCTTTCAGTAAAATAAATCTGGTCTCTGAAAGGGGGTCCCTGAACAGAAAAATAGTAATTCTTGTTTGCAAAGCATTTTGTAGTTTTAAAAGTACTTTCGTAACAGAATGAAAAGAAATGAATCAGGTACCTAATGAGCCAAGGACTGAGCTCTTGTCATGATGAAG